GCTTAAAAAGTTTATTTTTTAATCTGGTTATAAACGCATCAAGTCAGAGGTCGTACTGCTCTCCAAACTTTTCTTCAAGTTGACGAAACTAGGGTATTTCATGTCCAGATTTTTAAGGTCACTGAATATTCTAGTATCTAATGTTTTGCGAAGTTACAATTAAGTGGAAGTGCAAGATTAAAATATAATCATAAAGTAAGTTCGTATACAATGTTTTATGAACTTTCATATCTGTGGAGCAGATATACCGAATTTAGACATAGTACTAGACTAAATCTAGTTTCACTTGGACTTGTCCTAAAGAGGTTTACCTGCCTACTCGCCCGGATCTATTATCAATCGAAATAGCCATCAGCTTTAATTGAACTATTACCCTAGCTTGGTCAAGTGAAGTTACATCAACGCGGAATAATGACACTCTGACAGGTGCTCCTTTATTTTGTTTTGATTTTTGTTTGATATAACTGCACTTTTTTCTGTTGTTCAATGTACCATCGGCCATTGGATTCAGGGATGTTACCCAGTAAGTAAAATACCAGTGGCGAATCTACCACAGGTGCATCTCGGCTGTCATTGAAAATATGACATTTGACAGCTTTATACGACGCTGCTCTGACAAGTCGTTGTTGAGAATTTTTCATAATAAGACTGTGTTTTGGTACTACTAATTGACAAAAGTTAACCATACAGTTTTGTTTCATCACAATGTATTTTCGGTTTTAGGTAGTCGCTATCTTGTTATTGTAAAGGGTAGGTATGATTGGTTTAATGTATCCAAGTTTCACTTCCTCCAAATAGAAGGAGGGTCACATATGAATTGAACAAAATTCACAAGACGCTCGGCAAGTTTAAACAATTCAGATCAGCAATACACCTTTGTTAGTTTTGGTATAATAGGGCGCTGCCTATTATCATGCTTTTATATCAGGTCAGGAAGACCTCGTTGTCAACATAACTATCTTACCGATGTTTGCGATTATTGACGAAACAGATCATTATTGATCGTGATAACTCGTTAGCCAAAGCACAGTCCAGGACTCATTCATACAAAATGAAAAAAAAACTGATGATAACAGAAAACATAGTTCAATGCACTCAGAACTTTGCTAACGGAACTATGCTTTCTCTGTGGTGATTCTCCGAAGAAAGTATAAAATAAATTCTGTGTTTGGTTATCTGCTACAGCTGTTTTCTGCATTTTAATGCGATCTATGTTTCATTTCAGATATAAAAGCATTTTTCAATATTATCATTATGTAGCTGTAGCAGTAACATTTTGTCAGTATATTATGTGATCAAATCTGTTTATACTCTTGTCAAGAATCTAAGTACCATCGAACTACTATGATTTAAAACGTTTTATTGTGCTGTTGATTTTACACATATTTATATTTGCCTTTTTCATTTATTAATAGCAGGAATTCGTGCCAGAAAATCATTTGACAACAGTAATATTTTCTCCTGGCAAGCCAAAGCTAGGTGGAGTGCGATTTGAATTAAATCCACAACTCCAGCAATTTATTTCCAGTTTAATGATGATAAGGTCTTTTATAGGAACTCCCCGAATAATTGTTATTTCAGGTAACTTGATAGTATATTTGTGCTCTAGTTGAGCCTCATCAGTCTAACGAGAATCAAATTCATTGTTGTCTGCTGAAACATAGGTTAGCATACATTTGCTAGGATCAGCTGTGTCAGTTAAACTAAAATATTTCGGGTACTAATTATTCGCTGTTGATTTGTGTGATTGAGTTTATCGTTTATGATTAGTTTTTAAATTTTAGTTATTTGCCCATTGTGTACTATTTCGTTAGTTAAGTGTATTCAGTTGTTTTTATTATTTTAAATGCCTCCCTCGTAATGAACAGGGTGAACTGAAAAGTTGGGAATGAATGCGACATTATATTTTTGACATTTGACATCTTCTTGATGTTTTTCTACATCTCTATTAAAGTTGAACCGCACCAATAACATTGTCACCTCAAAGTGTAAATCTGAGCAAATTTTCATATACATTGGGTGCTCGTAAAAAGATTTAATATTTAGAACATTATACTGAAACATTTTCTTATGTGCTAATGTCATAAATATAAGGGTTCATTCATGTGGCTTCTTTCAGACAAATTGTAATGGATAGGAATTGATTACTGATATGTGATCGATCATTATTTGATCTTGCAAGATAATCAAAAATTGATTGAATCCTCTGGTTTGATACAGATAAAAAGGAGTATATAGGGACATAACAACTGCTCTGTGCTCGTTTAAATTATCATTCATGAAGTTGTCAATAAGTTTCAAAATGGTGTGAACTCCCTCTAGTCTTGCAGCGAATCTTGAAAACGAGTTGATTTCCATGACGCAACTACTGCAGTCCAGGAATATATTGTATTTTTATGCGAATTTGGCCTTAACATAAAGTCTGATATTCAATTTCAAGCGTTTTAGGCAGCATCAAACAAAGAACGCTGAGTCAGTGAATCAAAACTGACCTTATGGCGAATATTGGGAACAAGCTCATTTCCATCATAAAACTTCTGGCTCCCAGGCCCCCTTTTTATATGGAAAGGTGTGTCTCAACATTAGATTTCAGGTTCAATCTAAAGCGTTCTGGTGTACATGAAATAAAAGCATTGATTTGATTTAATATATAGAAAATATTTCTTTGCAGGGTTGTATTTGAAACAGGTATACTTTCTGTTGGTCCATCAGCTCAAAGCACTGTGAGGTTTCACTATTTCATTGTAGAAAGGAGGTCCTCCCAACTTTTCAATGCTACCGCACTCTGTTCCTACGGGCCAAGAAACAGAAATAACCTCACTGTGAAGGAAGTTATCCCTACAACAGTTTTCAAAAAGCTATCAGCTTACATAATTAAATATGCTATACGTACTTCACCCAGATGGCTCAGTCTAGACCAAGAAGATGCTTCTCGATTGAAGCTGCTTTCTGAACCAATCTACTTTCGAGAAACTTTCCCCTCATTTCGAATGGTGATTCGATATTGCCAGTATGATTTGAGTTACTTTATACTTTCATCAGTAAAATATACTACTAATATTTCAGATATTATGAACAGGTTTAGATTTTGGGTATGTCAAAATTATACAAGATGGGGATGGGAATGAGTTTCAAGTTGGTTGATTTCAATACGTAGTGGCAGATTCAGTTCTCGACGTTACAGAACGCCGCTTGGCGGAAGTAGGATGAGGATATTGTAGTTTATTGATCATTCGTCAAGATGGTGGTTTAAGCGAATCTAACTCGTTCATTATAAACTTATTTGTTAAAAGATAATGTGAACAGAGAAGTTCAGGGAACTATGTATGACATTTGGGGTGGACACCGGCAATCTTGGTTCATTAAATATATGTATATATAAATGTTCGATTGGCAGATATCGGTTTAGCAGAAAGTGTACTGGAAGATTAGCAAGTAGCAGGAAGATCCTTGAAAGTATAATTAGCTTAGAAACCAGCTTCGAATATACGAGAGTACCACCTCACAGTCTAGATTGGGTGATCTTTCCCTTCACGCGAAGATGTGTTTCTTGGTCTAGAACGCCAATACCCTCTGCCACTGCCCTTTGTTACCTGACCGTGGTCTTCTTGTTGCTGCCGAGCAGCGCGACAGATACCGGCTGCGTGTCCGCGCCTCTGATAAGGGCGACCCTCCCTCCTACGCGGACGTGGATATTGAGTTAGATGTCGTCGACAGAAACAATAAACCTCCACTATGGGATGAAGCCACTTACGGCCCCATTCACATCAGAGAAAATGTCACAGTGGGTACAGTCGTGACGTCTGTCAAAGCCAGGTTTGTATCGATCCACCGGTCGGACAGAGAGAGAGAGACGTCTTCAGGTGTGCGAAGATCTTAACCATGATGGGTGTGTAGTCTTCAGTGCTGGATATGTTATTCATTCAGTCCACGGCTAGCTCTTTGTCTCTCAGAACTGTTTCCAAGTCAGAATTATTACACAAACAGACAGTTTAACTTTGAAGGTGATATCTGATAATAGATGTCAATCAATCTAAACCACTGTAATAGCGTCCTACTGACAGTTCGTTATGTTTGTTAAACAATACGTCAGCCATGCCCGGTGGAGGTCTATCAATGATCAATATGTAGCGGATGCGTGAATATATACAGTGCATGCACAATGCAAGCATCTTTCTGATGAATCATCCCGAGTCACCGACGCGAAATAAGTAGGCCACGGGGTGACTACGCCTCCAAATTGGCGGCGCCGCTAAGGCGGTCGACAGGACATGTATTTCAATAGAATGGTCAGGCTATGGACGCTGGTGTGCAGCCGTTGTTGAAGCCTTATGGTGACTAAGAACTTATTCACGTATTTCACGTACTCACTGTGTACGAGGTGGATTCTGGAAAAGCATTTGTGTAGAAAATGCAAGCTCGTAAGTAAACCTGAACTTCCAGAGAATGAAAAAGGTAGTTACGTACGGTACTTGCTGTAGCTGCCTACAAGAGCTTTTGCCGAGATCTTTCATGATATGATGTCCTTTGAAGTGTGGAGGAAGAACATAAGATATAAACTAATTATTGTTGTACAAAGTACCTTTATCAAAATTGAAGTTCTGGCAAATACCAAAATGGCATATGTGTAGCATATCCAGTACCCAAGACTTACTAACCGCAGAGGGCTGCTGAAATCAGTACACTAGGCGTTTGTATGGGATGAATCTATGGGCTGCCGTATCAAGTGATATTGGTACGCTTAGGCCAAATTCATTTCAAGGCACCTATTGTTTTTGTTTCAGCTGTCTCCCTTGGTCAGCACCTATCAAGAAACATGACAGCTGTTGTCCCGAAGCTCGTGAAAGGGGGGAAAGGGGCGCCAAGTGGGGTATAGCTCGGGATGGCGGCTGTATCTACTAATTTCTTAAGCTGTCATTACCTGTCCATGTTTCTTTTAAACCTGGTATAACTTTGATGGAACACATTCTTCCATCAACCTTTTACTGTCGCCCATATACCTTCCCTTGGAGGTTGCAAAGAACTAGTATTCTGTATAAAGGATAATAGAGGTGGTTCTTGGTGGTGTCGGCTGGAAGTAATACTGTAACGAAGGAATTCGGAACACATATATTTCTAAGAATATTTTTTCGATTTGGATAATTTGCCAAGAAACAGTATAACCAGATCTGCATCCATAAAGGTAAAACCTGGGTATGTGGATCCTGTTATGGGATAACGTAACATTGCTGAGTAAATCACATTCAAATTCGTGTTACACTTAAAAGGTGGTTTGCTCAGCAGAGTTGATACAATTTGTGTTACTTCTAGACCAATACGACTTTTTCCTCCCGTTCCTCCCAAACACACCACCCTACATACAAAAGCACACTCACCGACCTCTGGCGTGTACTGAACGGAGAAATTGGACAAATCTTTAGCGTAGCCCCACAAGTGTTCTGCCACAAGCTCGCATTGTATCTATATATCTATTTCCACTTTTCCCGTCGCGCTAGCGCGAGACCTACAAACTGGAGGCGACCGCGCAAGATAAGGGCATCCCGCCTCTATCCCGGTCCGTGGAGGTGCAGATTGACGTGGTGGATCGCGCTAACAACCCTCCTGTCTGGGACCATGTGGTCTACGGGCCCATCTTCATCCGGGAAAACTTCCCGGTGGGTGCCAAGGTGGTCTCCGTCAAGGCAAGGTCTGTGCACAACGGCACGACAATGGATGATACGTACTCTTCGAGGCCCATTCACTTCGAGCAGGGATCAACGGACCGATCAAACATTGAAAAAAAAGAACATTGATGACATCTCACTCCCACGTTCAATGAACATTGTTAAGGGTAACCGTACTGTAGGAATAGCGCATTTGCCTAGTATGCGGAAAAACAGTAATGTTAACTGCCACTAGTCCCCATTTCGTAGAGATCAGTGCTCCAGTATGTGCATATTCTGTCTTATGCAACCTTCTAGTGCCCATAAAGTTAGCCATAAATGTCATCTGAAGCCTATTAGGCGATTTTTTTGTTAAGGAAGATCAAACTTTCTGTGGACCTGCCTTAAATTTCTCTTCTCACTAAAATTCATGTTGGAAAATAGTGACTTATCTTCAAGCCTTATCACGTCAATTTTAATTTGGATGCTCGATATATCGGTCCGTTGGTGCAGTTCAAGTTGAAGAGCCAGTAAGTGATCACTAGCGGTGTTGGTCGACCTCTTATCAATTATACCTGCCATAAATGACCACTTGTCTGTCGAAAATTGAAATGCCCGTAAAAAGTATGAAGTAGTATTTCCATATAGCTGAGTATATAAGAATAGACAAATCGTTCTTTATGGTAGTGTATCCCCAACATAAGATAAAACACCATCCCGTATTGGAATATTCTAGAGATTCTGAGTATTAATGAAGTTGACCATGATAAATATACGTTGTCGCAAGATATTGAAAACCTGTTATGTACATTCAGTATTCCAATTGAAAATATGAGCAGTCTAGTAGAATACTACATTTTGGCAATGCCAAAAGGTGTTTTATTAGTGAAATTTGAAGACAATCCTCTAGAATGTCCCATAGTTAATTCGCAAAAAGAGGTACCCTAACTAATACTTTCTACGACTCCTATTTATTTCGATAATATGATTGGTGGTGGAAGTATCTTTTTGCGAATCGTTGGTGAATTTGTTGGAACTTCTGTGCTCAGTGTAACTCATTATGACTGTAATATTGCATACATATTACTACGTGTCTAATTTGATGAATATATCAAACCTACAATGGAATCGAATACTATACACTGATACTGATAGCCTGATATATCAATACTGAATGAAGTATAAGGTTTAGGCATTTGTGTTATAATAATTATGTCAAATAGTTTGTAAATGGTCATAATACGTGTATATCAACTATGAGCTATGATAAAGCTCGTACTTACTACATGTATTTAATGTGATGAGTTACAATACAAAGCTTTCGTGATACAACATGCGTATATTACAGCTAAAGTATGTCATATGTCAGATAGTTGTAACGTCAAATAGCTAATAATTATGCAGGTAACGTTAATTATTCCAGTGAAAACAGTATCTCAAAATTTTGCAGCCCGTTTCTTCAAATCATATTGAACTCTATCGAAACCGTTAAAAATACTTAGGAGGCGGATTCCGCAGGATCTTTGCCATTTTTTTTACACTTAAGGACTGCTTGACCTTACATTTAAGACAACACTACCGTAGTTAGTTCTAAAAGCATGTACCACTGGATATTTCCTTTCCATGTCCTCATAAATTAAAGTCGTGTGTATCACTGAATTACTATACTATTCTCAGAACAGATTGTAGTAAGAAATATTCAATGTACAAAGCTAAGTCCAAATTTAAATCAATTTTGTATAACAAAATGGACAGATAGTAGAGTTTTGAAGAAAATTAGGCAATATCCACCCTCAACGTGCTTATTTAGAAATTGTGTAGAAATATCCGTCATATAAGTGAACTGTATTAGCAGGTCGATTTCTGAATTTCTTGACTCTCAGTTATGTAAATATTTCTGCGCAATTGTGATCCTTGAAAAAATCATCAATTTCTGCGCTTTAGCTGTACCATATACATGTTATCAGTGTGTCATATATAAGAAGTTGTAGCTATGAACAAAAGTTTCAACATTAGACCAGTCGGGATGCGATAAGTAAATTTTGAGGTTCGATGTGGTTGGTGTCCGTGTAGATGCAGCACGCAGCTCTACACGGCACAAGAGTCGTCTGTTTGTGCACGCTTTTCCCAAAACTGGAGAAACAAAACATTTATATGGGGCCTGCACGTGCTCTGCAGTAATCATGCCCCAAGATTCGCGTATTCGGGAAAGAACTCCTCCAAAATGATTTTTAAGCCATTCTCTGAAACATAACAATTATAATTATTTAATAGGTTATAAGGTCCGAATTGTGGAGGGCTATAAAAGATATCAACGCATCACCTTAATTGCAAAGTATTCTATATCTGTTTTTCAAATATTTGAAAAGACTCTTGAATGTCCTCGATTTATGAATGTACCACTAATATCTGTGCATGTTTACCCAATGATGATGAGATTGATGGGATAAGAATTCAGTGGTTCGTATCCGACCGTATCCGGTCCTAATGACAATAAAGATGCATTAAAAGTTATTTTGGAGGTGATGTTATTCTAGAATAGACAAAATTGTCATCCGCCATTATCACTATGGGAAACCGTCAAACTTGAAGATAACCTAGGTCCTGTAGCTATGGGTGTGTAGTCCTCCTGAACTTCCAAACTGACTCCCACTTTGCTGAATGTTGTTGAAGGCACCACACGCATATTAACGTCACAATGCTTTGAGGGCTAAGGGATATGGAAGACAACTTTAACAGCATTCAGCCTATCACCGCTCCATATCACCTTCCATTGACATAGAACAGTATTAACGGGAAATATGAGGAGAAGGGAACATTTGATGGATATGAAGTAATATGTTAAATTTCTTGATATTACCACTTGATCGGATTTCAAACATATATCTTCTCGTCAATTTTTGTACCAACATGTCAAGAGAGCCCAATTTTTATGTCACACTTTTTACAGATGTTGCTTTCACCAAACCTGACTAAACCAACTACTTTTTGAAGAAAATCTGTTATACTACAAATACCAGTGGTATACATTGAATACTATTTCAATACTATTTTCAGTATTATACTCTAAAGTTACCTTGGGTTCGAAGCATACGTAAGAACTGGAAATGCTTTATTTTGTGCTAGAGTCAAAATTAAGTTATTAAGTTTTAGCTGATGTACCCGTATTCACTTATAAATCTTTTTGGTCCGTTTTGCACCTGCACCTGCTCAGGGTCAACGATTACTTTTTCAATCACCTTTAATCATACAATCAAATAAATTTTCAATAAATAGCAAAGTAGGCTCGATATGTTCTAAACAACAATATGACAGTTACTATCTACACAGTAGAAGAAAAAATAGATGAAGAAATTAGTTACTTCTATTATCTGGTACATCCCACTACCAAATCAAAGATATAATGTTCTCCATCTAACGGCAAATGTCAGAACAACCAGTCCAAATGGATTGCACTGTAATCGATGTGAGTTTGCGCTCTCAAATGTTTTGTTATCGATCCACTGGCAATCATTTGGACAGCTAAATAACAGATGTCGCTAGATATTGGAATATTTTACTAACTGAACACCTTTCACATTTTTTTGGAGAAATCAATAACCACGGATTTCTTTTTGAAAGGCACAGGGCATCCAAAACGATGTTTTAAATTTTTGCATGATTTCATTAGATTTTTTAGAAAAGTTAAATGCGATTTGGATGTATTGTGCCTTTTAGGAAATATTTTGATGGTTGCATGGATTATTTTTTTGGGTCGTGGCTGAATATTTTTTAATAGTCTGATTTTTTACTTCCCCTATCTTTTGGGGGAAGGTAGAAATTTGAAATCTAGTTTCTCAAGTTTCTGATTACTTTATGATGTGTTCAAACGATTTTTCTGTTATGAGCTTTAACATTTTGGAACTTAGCAATCTCCACTGTGTGAAATCAGTTGAATCATCAATCCTCGTAAACCTAGAGGAGCTAGGTAAGACAAATATTCAAACTTGTCAGATCTAAAGCCTGAAGTGATCACGAACATGAACATTAAGCTATTTTTTGATTTGAAGGCATTCAAGTTCAGTGGAAAAACAAACCTCAAATAAATGCAACTTTCACAAATATTCAAAAATGAAAGAGGACTACTTAAGCCACGACCCTATAAATCCGCGCAAATTTTGCATGTGGCTGATCATTTTTTGTAAGCCATGTATAAAAATATTATTTTTGCTTTTTTGGTCGCCATAGTTTACGTACTAGATTTTTGGATGGCGCATTAGAATAGAACTGCATTTTTTGAAGACCAAAGGTTGACAAATGAGCTTTTAGTGCATGGTTATCGTTGCATATAGTTTCGTTTGGTGAATATACGACCTATCAAACCCTCAATGGACAGCAAATTAAGTTTAGAATAATTCCAATGTATACGTATACATTTTAATGAGGTCTTCGAAAATGAAGGATCAAAGCATATTCAGCATTATATTTATATTGCTATCAGAGGATGGAAAAACAGTTTGCTGATATGATATTAACTTGTTTAGGTGATAGATAGGTGAAACCTATTTGAGCTATCTACATTACGAAGAAATGAAAAGTCGTTTTAGTGGGTGTTATGACAAATCTATTTATTTTGTTTATTATACCATAATATGGAAATCATGAATTTTAACTAGTGCCGCAGTCGGAAAGAGAAATATAAATGCAATATCTATGAGCGCATTCATACTACAGTATATTCAGATAAGAGATAGACCGGACATAAACAAGACCACGTGATCATCGAACGCTGTAACATTCGGCAGGGACGTATTAAGAGTCACGCAGTACATATTTTAGATAGTAGATGCTGCTTTGCGTAACTTTGTAGTAAATTAGCACAATTCGATGTGTATACGATTGGTGATGGATATAGGATCATGTGGGGGTGGGGTAAGAAATATATAATGATGTAAATATACATAAGGGTTTCAACATTTTCGCTTCGATTTCCAGCTTCGGATGCCGCCTGATGTTTGGTGAAATACAGTCGAATATAATCTCAAAATGGCTTTTGAATTAGCCTAAATTAAAAATAATCGTATATCTCTTAAAATTGCTTTTAGAATATTGATTAGTATATTTTTTGATTTCTAGGTAAATATGTAACCAAATTAAAACGTTCAAAACGTAAAAAAATGTGCATGGTCGAACATTGTCAGAAAGTAGATTCTTGAATAGGTTTTGCCAAAATGGGTTCAAAAATGTCAATAATTAATTAAAAAATACAGTAGCTTTATAATTACTTATAACTTACCGAATTTCATGAACAACATCTTTTATTGGAAAGATGAGCTTGATGAGCTTTCATCATCGCTACTGCCTGAAGCACCAACGTCAATAATGAATGGCTCGACTTGTTCCTCTAAAATATTGTCCAGTTCCCACATTCTCTTTTCAACTTTGTCTTTCACGTGCTTAATACAGTTTTCCCATTTTTGCGCTGTTATTAATTCTAGTGCTTCTTTGAAAAGTCCTTTGAGGTCACAAAATTTAAAAGTTGTATTGTGCTTAGCTATATAATTTTTAACCTCTGCCCATATATGAGCTCAATGGGATTGAGCTCGCAATGGTATGGAGGTAAACGGAGCACAGTTTTATTTTGACTTGCTGCCATTTCGTCAATGGCGTATTTTTGATATTCCGCCTTGTGATCCTTGACAATTCTTAATAATTGTACTTTCAGCATTGCTTCTTCAAAGTTGATATTTTTCGAGCGGAGCCAATTTTGAACATCAGCTTTCATTGAAGCCGTTGTTGGGACCTTCTCCATTCTTCGAGAATGATAAGGCGCATTATCCAACACAATTACTGCGTTTTCCTCTAAGTTCGGTAAAATTTTTGAAAACCACTGTTCAAACGATTCGCCATTCATTTCCTCGTGGTAATCTCCAGTTTTATTAGACTCACAGCACCACAGACCGTCAACAACAAATCCATCCTCACTGCCAATATGGCAGATAATGAGCCTTTTCCCTTTACCTGGAAATCGAAGTACTAACTGATGTAGATTTATTTCAATAAGCGAACCTTTTTCAAATGTTTTCATCACATTCAGCGAAAAAACATTGAGACATGAGTATCAGATTGCTATAATTGGGATTATTTAGTCATATTGAAAGAAAGAATATTGAACGTCGTATGATTACTCAGCGCTTCACAATTTCATTTAAAGTTATAAACCTTTAAAAAATGAATGATCAGGAACCTGAAATACGCGCAAATATTAATATTAACAAATTATAACTTTATAAAGCTTAAAGTATGAATTAAAATGATTAGAAATATTAGGAACGGTACACAATATAAAACTTAGTAACTTTTTTAAGTTTATAATATTCGACATATTTTAAGATTATATTAAAAGATTATTGAAATATCGAAAACACATAAAAACATGGCTTAAAAAAGTTCTAACAAATGAAAATGACAATAAAACATCCACGCATTTTATCGAAAGTTATAAAAGTTTTGTTACTTGTACTATGTTTTATCTGCCCCCTGGAATTAAT